GTTTTGTGTGATGATTTGAAATAAGATCGACAAAATTTGGCCAATGAAATAGCTTATTTTACAGTGTCCATTATGCTAATAAAGATACCTTGAAAGTGAAATATTATTGGAATATTAAAGCATGGATGCAAACCTCCATCTTTAATGATTATCTAAAAGATTTAAATAATGAAATGATGAAACAGAATAGAAACATTTTACTATTATTAGATAATGCTCCTACCCATTCAATTTCTGAATCAATAAATTTAACATAAGAGTCCACTTTTTACCACCAAATACAACAGCATTTTTGCAACCATGTGATGCTGGAATAATTAATAGCTTTAAGGCAAATTACAAAAAATTTTTTTTACAAAAAAAAATTAGTGATTATGAAGAAGAAAGGAATGGCCAAGAACCTGAAAAAATTTCAATTAAACATGCAATTAAATATACAGCAAAAGCTTGGGAAAAAGTTACAAGCCAAACTATAATTAACTGTTGGAAAAAAAACTGGTATTTTACCTGATGTTGATAATGAAATTGAAAATGCGACATCAATTTTAGGTTCATTGAATGTAGAAGAACTCAATAATTTGCAGAATTTGATTGATGAACTTGCATTTAATAATCCTATATCTGCATCTGAATACATTGAAATCGAAAAAACTAATGATGAAAATGAAGAAGTAAATTTACAAGACATAATTTCGATAATTAATCCAACTGAGGAAGACCAAAATCAAGAAGAAACAATTGAAGAATCTCCACCTGTTACAAATAAAGAAGCTTTGTCAGCAATAAAAACATTAGATATTTACATTGAACAACAATCTGAAAAGTTACAATTAAGTGAGAACGAATTTAAATTATTAAAAAGCCTTAAAAGAAAAATTAAAAAAATTGATTTTGATTCATATCAACAAACAACATTAGATATTTTTCTTGATACATGATGAATTAGAATTAGCAATAATATTTTAATTTTTAATGTATACGTTTTTGTATTATTATATTATTATTATTACGTTTTTATTATTATAAATAAAAATAATTTATCACATGATTAAGATCTGCAAATTCCTTATAACGGTCTCTCTCTATAACGGTCATTTTTTGCCAAAACAGAAGGGCCGTTATAGAGAGAGTGTACTGTAATCATGCGATAATTTTAAACTATACAACAGCGGAATGATTGGGTAAAAACCCATCTAGTCCCTTACCCAAAATCATAAATTGGTTACATCAAAGAAACAGAGCATTTAGGAAATGATTATACAAAACAAACACTATTTAACAACTTCCCTCTTAACATCAGAGTCCAAGTGAAATTTCAGGGCCACCAACCCTGCTCTGAATTGCAACCTCCTGTGCTTGAAACGAATTGCAGATTCTCTTGATATTCATCAGCAGAGTTACGACTTGGTCACAGAGCCATCCTTGCCCTAGAGGTGGGTCGTTGCAGTTGACTTTTCGGCCAGCATGCCAGCAGCTATCTCTGGTCTGGGAAGATTAGTGAAAGCATCATTGACGATTGGTGCAGTCTCTGTAAACTCCAGGGCATCTTTCCCCCTCCCCGGAATTCAGTTGCATCATTGTATCATCAGGCGCGAGTCAGATTAGCCTTGTGTACACGAGGAAGATGAGAATGATTGTAAAGTGTTCAAGGCAGCACGCGTGCTTCAACGCCTGCCAATTTCTGATAAACAAACGTTGCATATCAAAATGTTTCTTCTACAACAGTGTGCCACCTTGACATCTTGTGATTATAATAATATTATTATTATTATTAATGATTACAAAAAGCAAAATATTATCAATGAAAATCTTGTAATTACCCAGCAAGATCTGCTCCGCGTTTTGATTTCCAATTAAAATGTTTATAAACAAAATAAAAATATCAATACAAGTAAAAAATAGTACCTCTATTATTAACACTTCTTCTTTAGGAGACCCAAACCAAACCAAACAACAACACTCACGTTTTGTCACCCTGGACTCTGTCAAAAAATAATTTGTTTTTCCAAGAAAAAAAAAAATCAATTCGCGTCTGTCCTACCAAAAAAAAAAACCAATAGGATAAATAATTAATATGTACGCGTCGATCATTCATAAACTCCTTTTATTATAATATTTTTAAAAATATGCGACAACAACAAAAGAAGCAGAGGTGAAAACAAAGAAGAGGCTGTTAGTGGGTAAGTGTTTTAAGGATGGTGGTGGTGGTTATTGCCACTTGTCATCACTCATTGTCACTCTAGTTTTTATAAAAACATATATTTCACATGAACAATTCATATCAATACCTTGTTCTAATGGATTTTTTATTTAATAAATAGTGGATATAAATGTATTTTGGTATATGAAGGGAGCAAATTGTTACTTTACTTAGAACCAGGAAAGTTTTTAGGTGAATTTATAGAAGAATTAAAAGTTGATTTGATTTGGGGTGATTTAATAGAGGATAAAGAAGTTGTATTAACAATCATTGATTCAATTGACAATCTTTTTCAAATAATATTGACTGAGGTTAGAAAAATATTTTATTGTAAAAATTGAATTTAAAAAATTGTTTATTGCAATAATTATTTTTTAAAAATTTTTTTTTAAATTATAAGGATAATAAACAGATGAATGAAATTACATTTAACAACATAATTGAAGCTCACAAAAGGCATCAGAAATTACATGATCTTTATCCAAGTGATCTTGTTATTCTTGTTACTTTACAAGTTCGACTTATTCCATACTTTCAGCAATTCCTTTATGAAGATAGTGAAGAATGTGATGATGCTGATGTAAATGATGATTTGTTAAAAGACCCTGATTACACAGAAAATGAATTTGCCATTGAAAAATTCAAAAAAAAAATTCTAAAAGTAAGATAATTCTAGTTCTCAATAACAGATTATTTGCTTATTCATTATAGATGCTGCCCAAATTAAATCCAATATCTCAAATAATTTGGAATTTGGGCAACATGTATATTATTCATCATTAACTCTATTATTATAAATTTAGTATATCAAATCACATGATAACATTCCATCTTATACACTTGAAATGGCAAATTCGATTCTCAGCTGTGATGAAATTCAAAGCAACCATTTATTGTTTGAAGGAATTTTATGTTGTTCATACTTGGAAAAAGAACAACCAAAACTTTACAAGCAAATTGAAACAAAAAAAAATTTGAACTATTTTAAGTTGGATGTTGAAAGATATAAGGCTCAATTATCAGATAATCAAATGAAATTAATAAAAGATTTGATCATCCACAACACTCTTGATTATAGGATTACTAGTCAAAATCAAAAACTAGATCTTGCAATAATTAATTTAGTAGATAGCTTTAAAAAGATATGGAAATTAAAATGTTATCAACGATCTGATAAGTATGTAAATGAAAAGACATTTGGGCATAATATTGTGGATAAAATAATTGATTTCATATTCTATGATATAGTTGCAGAATCTAAATGGTAACTCATGAGTTTATTAATCATAATATTAATCATAATGATGTATCATAGATATTACATATGTTAATACATATGTATTATTATTTAAAGGATGGATGTCCAGCACAGTCTACTAAATTCAGAAATGCCACCCAAAATATAACTAGGTATCCAGATTTTTATGCTTATGAGGAAAACTATGGGTATTTCTTTAATCATGAATATTTATTTCTAGAGATCAGTAATGGTCCCTGGGCTACCGGGAATGATCACATTAAACATGTAAACGAGGATAGGTTTAGATTATGTAAATTTCAGAAAGATGCACATAAATATGTATATTACATATTGAAAAACAAAAATCTGAAGCATCTTAAATCATTATTAGATAATATTGTGTTTATATCAATTCATTTTTATGAGTTAAAAATGGATATTAATATAATGGATTGTAAAATGAAACCATTTTACATAATAAATCCATTCCACCACTTCGTCATTTAGGTCAAAAAGAATCAATAGATTCTTTGGTTTCTTTATGTCAATCATTATTTATATTAAATCATATAATAAAGGAAAATATCATCAACATTTGGTAAATTAAACCAAGAAATAAATGCAACAATATCAACACCAACAAATCAACCAATCACGACTTTAGAACCTGGTTCTGGTGGAAGTATCTTCACTACAAATTGTACACCATAATTCAAATAATGACATGGATGAGCTTGGTCTTGAGTCACTCTACAATTATACAATTAACTACTTTATTGAAAAATGTGAGGATTATATAAAAGAAAATCCAGTTAAAATTCTACAATCAGTTTATTCTAATACTAATGAACAATTTATGGGAATTGAAAAGTATCTTCCTATTTTTAGTAATTACTATTGATAGAAAAAGTACATATTCTAGATAGATTAAATTAAAAAATTTTTCATTGTAGTCAAACTAAGATATATTTAATTTAATATTCCTGGAAAAAAAAATATTGTTTTTTATTTGCATTTTTTAATATATTGTAAGATGGAAATTTGACTTGTATTTGAGTTAACTCTAAATTCAATATATCTTAAAAATTAATAAACTATTAAACAAATTTATAAACTAATACACAGGAATTACTTCCATAATTGGAACTCCATCTGGTCACCATGATGCTTTCTTTATTATTTTTCTTTCTTCTTGGTAAATTTCATAAGTAATCTTTTCTTTCATTAGATAAGCTTCAATTGCCTGAGTATCATTTATTTTGAAAATGTAAGGAGCAATTTTTTCACCTTGTTCTTTTTTTAAAATACTTCAGATAGTACTATAATTCTTGGGTTCCATTGTAGATCTGATGTAAATTAATTTCATATTATTATTTTTATATAGGGGTAATTCTATATATTAATATTAAGAAAAAACAAATATAACAAATGGGGGATTTTAATAATCACATTACTAAACTTTGATCCCTGAAATTCTTGGTAATACAAATGTTCACTTTGTCTGGTTTTGTTGCAGCATGCCCCATATGATCTTTGTACTATTGGAAAAAGTTGAATATAAGTTATAAGTTAATCAAATATATAAAATAAATACTTATTTCTTTAAAGTATAATAATAATGAGAATAGAGAATAAGTCTTTGCCTGCAAGTATAATAATGACTTATTAATAAAGGAAAATGTTATCATTCACATTTAAAAAAAAAAATAAATAATAATAATAAATAATTGACACAATTCTGACATACAAGATAAGATCACAGAAGCCTTGAACTTTAATTCTAAGGTAACCTATTGAAATCAAATTGATTAAAGTTTTACCAAAATATAAAGAAAAGTCAAAGCAATATATCTATATATATATAAAAAATCCATATAATGGGTTTTGTGCGCAGTCACGCGACTTTTTTTCTATTCTAAATTCAATTGAAATAGCAAGTTTCACAATATAAAAAAGATCGACGATCGAATTTTGTCACTATGCCACTTCCAAAATATGGATTTTCCTTTATTTATTCATTTGTACAGACATTAGATGTATCATTAAAGTATTAACTAGTTATTAAATATAAATATCCAATGTCATGAAACATCATGAATGTTCTAGTATTCTTAATTGCCATAAGCATTGAAAGATTCCAAGTATTACGAATATTTGAAACATTACGAATGTTTGAAAACTTGCATATGGAATGTCCACTAACAAAAAGGAGGTCAGAGACTATTAAATTGTCTGTGTAATCATCAAAAGATATAAATATTTCAAGACTTGTACCAACTGTAATCCTTATGATATAGATATACACTCAATTTTATCAGGGGTCCTCAGACTCCCCATATTAATATTGGACATCCCATATGATTTCGAACATTAATATTAATATTAATATGATGTCCAAAAACTTTCGAACATTCGAACATGAACACTATGTCCATATATTATTAATATGAAAGAACAGGTAATTTTGTATTACAATTTTTTATTATGCAAAATTAATTTAAAACCCAAGTACAAGTCCTACGTGAAACAATGTATTCTTCTTTTGCCGATAGTAATAGGTCAATCATAATAATAAGGGATAATCAGAGTCCTCCTCGATATATATAATTAATTATCGCATAAATATTGGTTTTTTATATAAATATTAACTGTTGCCAAGCGTTCGTTAAATGTTTAGCATCCATTTTAATATGGTTTGTTTTTCCTCAGAATCAGGACAAAATCTGATTTCCCGGATAGAAATTTTCAGAAGAAGGAATTGAAGAAGCTGCATCATTGTTTTTAAAATGATGGAGCTTAAGATGTAATTGAAACTTTTCTATATGCCATCTAGTAAAAGGGGAATATGATTTAAATTATTAGATGTTGGTTAGTTGAATCAGCTGTAACCCATGATCTAAGGGATAATCTTTTCCCAGTTATATCCCATTGAACTTCAGTGATTTACTAGTGGCCAACATCAGTTTGTGAATTATTGAGTAAACTCACCCCAGAGTGCCTAATTCTTTTTACATTTGAAGAAGAATTTGGTTGTGAACATGAGTCACAGCCAACTGAGTAAGACTACATATAATTTTTAAAAAATTTTTAATTATTTTAAATAAATAAGTAAAAATTGTTTTTTGTCAAAAAAAAAAAAACTGTATGTCATGACAACTAGTACTGGTAGTATTAATTTAATTTAATTTTTAGAATATAGAAATTTTTAATAAAAAATTCTGTTGCAAGTGTCACGCGAAAGTTGTAAAAAACCTATTTATTTATGCGTGATATTTTATCCACCTGTGACGTATTGCAATATATAACAACGGCTGGTACAGTATCAAGGACTTCGTAATCCTTTAGAGCAATGATTCTACGATTATTTTACAGTAATAATTACGCGATTTTAATTTCACGTAAATCGCGTATTAGCATTAAAGTTATTGAACTTTAAAATTTTTCCTTTTGCCCAACAAATATTATTTTAAAGGAATAATTGATTTATTAGTCTTTTAATAAACAATTTAAACGTTTTCTGTCAGAATAGATTAATTGTTTCAAGTTGAAATTATCCAAAACAATTAAATTTTCATCCTTTGTGTTTGATGATGTATTGTTGTTCCCTATTTTTCAGAGAATTAAGTTACACGAAATGTTTAAATTTGTTTAATATTAAAAATATTTAAATATGTGGATGGAACTTGTAAAAAATTTTTATTATTTATTTTATTGAATTACAAATAAATTTAAAAAAATATATAATATAAAATTATTATTATTAATAAATTTCTTTTCTCTCCATTCCTTCAAATAATTACCTTACGTTTAATTTTATATAATCCTTTCTTCTTTCCCTCTTATTTTTTTTTAGTATTTAACCATTCTAACTGATTATTTTATTAATTTTTGAAAAATGCAAGCCATAAAATGTGTTGTTGTGGGTGATGGGTATGTGAAAAATGCATATTGTATATAATAAAGTCCATAAATTACACAATAAATTTATTACAGTGTTTTGATCTAGTTGTATAAATACATGTACACATATATATGTATATATGTATTAAAGAATATTATATTCAGAAAAAAAATCAATCACAAACATTTACTTATGACATTTTAATTAATTATTTATTTATTTAGTGCTGTTGGTAAGACCTGTCTTTTAATTAGTTATACTACTAATGCATTTCCTGGTGAATACATCCCCACCGTGTAAGTTTTAAATATTTATATTTATATTAATATTTATTTTTATTTTTTAAAAAATAAATCTTTAATTTTACTTTGTTTAAATAGGTTTGATAATTATTCTGCAAACGTGATGGTTGATGGTAAACCTATTAACCTTGGTCTTTGGGATACCGCTGGTCAAGAAGATTATGACCGATTGCGACCACTTTCATATCCTCAAACTGATGTCTTTTTGATTTGTTTCTCGTTGGTCAGTCCTTCTTCGTTTGAAAATGTTAGAAGCAAGGTAAGCACTAATGATAATGATGTTAATATATATTTTTTACAGAAACTTGACTAATTAATAATTAATACGAATAATTGATATCATGTTTTATTTTGTTTTATTTTTTAGTGGTATCCCGAAATTACCCACCATGCTCCAAATATTCCAATCATTCTAGTTGGTACAAAATTGGATCTTCGAGAAGACAAGGACACTATCAATAAATTACGTCAAAAATCTCAATTACCCATCTCATATCCTCAAGGACTTCAAATGGCAAAAGATATTGCAGCTGTTAGATATCTCGAGTGTTCTGCATTAACTCAAAAAGGTTTAAAGAATGTATTCGATGAAGCTATTCGTGCTGTTCTTTGTCCTGCTCCAATACAAAGACGCAAGAAAAATTGCATTATTTTATAATCTAAAAAGAAGAATCCAATCATCATCTAATAGCAAAAAACCCAATGTGAGTAAAAAAAATATTTATATATTTTTTTTCTCTCTAATAGAATGATTTATTACATTCCTTTTTTTCATGTATTAGGTTACATCTTATCATTATCATTATCATTAATTTATTTTGATTGGGTTTAACATAATAATTAATTGTAAAAAGTCATAATAATTTATTTATAAAGTTCATGTAAATTTAATATGCATTCAGTAGTGTATTATATATTTATTATGTAACTTCAAATCTCAAGTTGTTTTAAATTTTTTTTTAAAAATACAATATTTTTTAACTTATTTTTATTTAACATAATAACATATAATACAAGGTATAATTTGTGGAATTTTAACGTATTTCCATCTATATATATTAATATATATATATATCCAAAAGAGAAAAAAAGAAATATTAAGCTATTTGTGTATATATAAGCGATAGTAATAGTAAAATTAAAAAGCAACGAAACGACTCATCAACAAAAAAGTTTATATTTATGTTTGATTTTTGTTTGACCTTTATCTCCTTTGATGAAAATGGCACATAACCCGATTTACTCTCTTAATATCTCCAGCTCTATATTCTTTACCGATTGCAATAAGTTCAATAGAAACGAGGAATATTGACCAAAAGTCGATTTTGAGTTAACAACAGTGGTATGTGTAACTCATCAAGAAGAACATTTTTGGCTTAGAAACCATACCTACTGCATATCAAAATAAGTAATGATTAGACCCGAGCCCCGAAATTTTTTACAAATCAGAAAATTTTGGGATAATCAAAATTTTATTATATATTTTTTATATCAAGCAATAGAAAAACAAAGTACCATATATTAACAGTAGTTGTGGAAAAGTCTCGGTTTATTCATATTTGTATTGAAGGCATTATTATTCAAGCCCTCAAAAAAAAAATTTTTTTTTGAAAAGTATATACATTTTTATACCTTTTCATAACTTTATTATTATTAATTCTTGTTCAAGAATTAGTAAAATAAGATAATAATAAATAAATAAATAAATTTCTATGATCCAAAGTAAATTAGTAAAAATTTATAATAAATATACTTATATATTTTCTTCATTTTTATTGTGCATTATTAACTATAATGCCCAAGCCAAAATTATTATTGCTGCTGCTGCTGCTGCTGTTATTGTTGCTGCTGTTGTTGCTGTTGTTGTCGTTGCTGTTGTTGTTGTTTATATTCCAATCTCCATCTCCAGAAACATCACCCAAAGATGTATATACATCTTGTGGTTGTATTGGTGGAGTTAACAGTGATAATGAAGGCGATAGAGTTGAACTATCTACTATGTTTTTAATATGATTTTCATTATTATTGTTGTTGTTTTGTTGCCATTGTGGTGGTTTAGCTGACTGTGGTGGTGTTGACAACATATTGTTATTTTCATCTTTTGATGTATTATTATTATTATTATTATTATTATTATTATAATGAAAATGTGGTGATTGCTGCAATGGTGTATTATATTGAGAAATTTGAGGTGATGGTTGTATTGATGAATAATATTGATAGTTTCCTTGTGAATTAATTTCTTCAGGTTCTTCAGATAGTGGATTATTATTACTCCTATCATCATCATTGCAATTTATTTGTTGATTTTGTTGTGGTTGAAATGCACAAAAATTGATTTTTTCATCACTTTTAAAGGTAAAATTGAATTGATCATCTGTGCTTTGCAAATTTGAACCAAAGTAATCATACTTTGATGAGCCGTAATGTCTTGATCCTCTTGAATAACTTAATGAGCCATGTCTTTTAGGCATAAAAGGTCCTCCTGACTGTTTCTTTACTACCATACTGTATTGCTTTCTCAAAATTTTATCATCATCACTAACAAATACTTCCCAGTCTCTAATTTCTACATCACCATTTCTCAATCCATTATGTGGATGTACAGTAATACCTAACCAATCACCAATCATTCTATCAGTTGACATTATTGAATTACTACCATCTTTTCTTCCTCGATCATACCCTCTGGAAATTATTTCAACTTGTGATTTGATAAATTGAAGCCTTTGAAGCATATCTGTTGATTTCTTGTCATTTTCATTATGTTTTGCATGCCAAGAAAATACACGCATTGACGGATCAATTGCAAATGGACCTGACATAGAAAAGGCAAAAAAATTTGGATGTTTTGATAATAAGATTTCCAACCAATGCACAATAATAGTTGCTGATTGAATGCAGATCACAGGTGAATTTGCCAAATATGATGAATTATGGTTATATGTTTCTGAATGTTTTAAATATCTACTATGAAGTTGTATAAGTGTTGTGTAGAAAAAAATATGTAAATCACCTAGTATTTTTGATTATTCATTTAAAACAAGAATTATTAATTTCCTTAGTTCTTGAGTAAATCATTTATTTATTTATTATTATTTAATATATAAAGTTTATATTAACCTCCAATTCCATTTAACAAAGTTCCATTTGGGTCTTTTGATATTTCTTCAAATTTCAGCCAATCAGGTAAACTGTGAAACCAGCTAGCAAGTGCAGCATCAAGAACTCTAAATTTATTTTCGTCTTCTTGTATCAAAAATTTCAATCTGGAGGCTGCATGCACATATTTACGTACTCTTGCACAAATCCGACTAAGATTTATCAAATGAATAAAGGCTATTCGAAGTTTTGTTTTTTCATCAAATAAATTTTGATCTTCGGGTGGTAAAACTGTCACATCAACATCACAATCTGTTTCGTCAATCATATTTGGTCGACCATACGTTGCCGAAATAAAGCTTTTAAATATCATAAAATTAGTATATTATTACCATCACTATCACTGTTATCACTATTAATACTATTATTATTATTTATAAACATAAATCAATTTACTTTTCAGATATAAATGTCACCCAGAATGCCTCATTTCTCAACATCTCAACATCCTTTTCCATTTTGATTTTTAAATTTTTTGGTTTACGATGTAAGCCAAGTTCAAATACCATTTTTGTTGCAATTCCATTATACATCCAACCAGCTCCTGGCTATACATATATATTTTGTTAGATAAAATAAAATCTTAATAAATGCTAGAACAAGGTTCAAACCTGCTTATTATAACGACCCATAAGAATAATAGCAATCACAGTGAGAACATGAGGTTGTGTACAATACTCATATAACAAAGCTATATATAAACATAAACATAAATATAAATATAAATATAAATATAAATATAAATATAAATATAAATATAAATATAAATATAAATATAAATATAAATATAATTTAAATTATTATATATATATATGTTAAAAAATACACTACCTTCAGCTCTTTCAAAGTAAATCCTCCCATCCCTCTTCTCGGGATCTTCTTGAAAGGGTGATGCAGCGAAGAAAATGCAATTTAACAATAGCAAATGTTGTGATTTGGAAAGATCTCGAAGAGCATAGACTACCTTTTCTCGTAAAACAGGAAAGTAACGGTGAACATTCTGGAAAATATTTGATAATTTTTTAAAAGAAGTTTACTAAGTAATTGATTTATCAATCTATGAATTATAACTTGTTCAAAAAAGAATTTACTTTATAATATAAAGATATTAATTCATCAACAGTCTGTGGGTCAGGGAGTATCTTTAATGAATCGTCAACCTCAGATAAACGTGCTTGTGTTTGAGGAATAATCATTTCTCCATTATAATCTTCATCAAGCATCAACAAAGAACCTTCACCGATATATCTGGTTGATTCGTAAAGATTTATGTTATTGATTGAAGAAATTAAATCTTCCATCATGTCATAACCAGGTTTGGATGATGTATTCTGATAAGCATCAACATTAGTAATGTTGCTATTTTTATTATCGCTATTATTTTGATGCTGTTGAGATGATGGAGCCAATGGAGGCATTTGTTCAGGTGATATTTCCAAAAATTGTTCTTGGTGAGGTACCTGTTTAGTGAGTGCAGCAAAATCAGCACAATTTAGATAATATGTAGGATCGTACTAACGAAATAAAAAATAAAATTAATAAATCCATATAGCTATATGTTATGGTTGCCAATAACTTATTTGGTGTTGCAAATTCACGGTCATCGTTATCCCAGTAATTTAAAATTATTAATTATATAAAAATAAATACAAACCAAACATTGTTCAGATACCCTAGGAATATTTGATGCAATTTCGCTAGAATGATAAAGAACCTCACTAGTGATCACCGATGTTCCATCCTATATTTATATATTATAAAAAAATCATAATAATAAAATTGTGTTAACAATATTAATGAAATAAACAGCAGAAAAATAAAGATTAGAGATTAATTACTAACAATGCTAGCGAAATTTTGTCCATCATTTTGTTGCAATGGAATCGTTGGTGTAGACAACATTCCAACAATATTTTGGCCTTCGTTTATATCAACACCAAATCCTCTTGAGACCATGGATAAATAACCTGATTCTTCAAATAATGGGCCAAACTGCACTTTTTGTATATCTTCTAAACATGAATCTAAGTAACTTTTGTCATTTTGTGATTTCATGCCATTCTGTTTATCTCGCATCGATTTCGTTAACTGTGCATAATTGTAACTACATTTTCTATTTGTTCTTTTACAAGTACCACATTCTGGTCGTTCTTTGTCGCATTTGACCTTTCGAGCTTTACAAATATCGCAAGTTGATACTAATTTTACTCTCTTGGGGTTTGTTAATCTAAGAAAATTTGTAGTCATTTTTTTAAAATTAAAATGAAAAAAAAAGAATATGGTAATTCATTTATTTATGAATTTCTTTTATATCCGTTTTCTATTTTTTTGTGTTCTTGTAATACTTTTTAGTTTTTGTATTTGTACTTTTTTATTAGATAATCACTTTCCGAAAATTGATAATGTCGGTGAGTTTTATTAAACATTGATTAATTCATGAACCATTATCTTGAATGTTGTTTAAAAAAAAATTTCATTTTCATCAAATGACATTTTTCTCTCTAATGAAATTTCGACAGAGCCGGAACATTAATAAGATATCTACCGAGGCTAAAGAATTTATAAATTTTGTCAATAATTCACCTTCACCTTTTCACGCGGTTGAAGAAGCCCGTACAAGATTAGTTGGTGCTGGTTTTGAAGAAATTAAAGAATATGATAGTTGGGAAGAAAAATTAAAACCAAATGGAAAATACTACTTTACAAGAAATAGAAGTACCATTGTTGCTTTTGCCATAGGTGGCCTTTATAAGGTTGGGAATGGTATTTCCATGGTTGGAGCTCATACTGATTCGCCTTGTTTAAAGGTATTTTGGAGAAAAAAAGAATATTTGTTTGAGTTTTAATAATAAACACAAGAATAATTCAATCATATTAATTATATTAATTGTTAGCTTAAACCTATTTCGAAAAAGGAAAAGGCAGGTTATTTACAAATTGGAGTTGAGACTTATGGTGGTGGTATTTGGTAATTTAACTGATCAATCAACTTGATATTAAAAAAAATGGAGATTTTATATTGAAATTTTGTATTTAAAATAGGCATACATGGTTTGATCGAGATTTAAGTGTAGCAGGTCGTGTAATGTTAGAAAATCCCAATGGAAAATTTGAGCATAGATTAGTGAAAATTAATAGGTAACAAAAGGTTAGATCTATTATAGTACTGCAGTTAAAACTTTATCAAATTTAATGATTTATAATTAAAATTACAATTAGACCCATTTTGCGGATACCAACATTAGCTATTCATCTTGACCCTGAAGTTAATGAGTCTTTTAAATTTAACAAAGAAACGCATTTAACACCATTATTAGCGACAGTAACAAGAGCGTAAATTATGATTATTTATTAAGCACACAAATACATATTTCAGAATTCGTTTTAAATGTGAATCTAAGTTAGTTCATTTCATGTTAATACAGCCTGGAAAATCAAACGGTTGAAGAAGCTAATAAAAATTCTTCGAATAAACCAAAGCATCATCCTGGTTTACTAAGTGCCTTAGCTGAAGAGATTGGAATTCAAGGTTTTGTTTAATTTTCCTTGTAGATGGGTTTGATTTACTTGATATTTGTGAATAATTATATTTACATCTAAAAAGATCCATCTAAGATACATGATTTTGAATTGTGTCTTTATGACACACAACCTTCTACTTTTGGTGGTCTATATCAGGAGTTTATTTTTTCTCCGCGTCTTGACAATTTGATGATGTCATTTACTGCTTTGAAAGTAGGCTCATTTATACTCTTTCTCTTTTTTTTTTTGCTTTTGTCTCTTTTTTAATAAAATTTAAAATAAATATTAGGCATTAATAAATAGCTCAAAAAATCCAGAAGAATCTTTATCTACAGATAATAATATTCGTTTAATTTCTCTGTTTGATAATGAGGAAATTGGCAGCACTAGTGCCCACGGTGCTAATTCTAGTCTTTTGGAGAACACTTTGAGAAGATTATCTTCAGCAAATATTGATTCGTCTGCTAGTCCTTCCAGGGTATAATGTTTTTGAATTTTGAATTGATTATTTTTATTTTAATTAGGGAAAAAGAATTTATTACCAGTATTCTCTCCATTCTTCAGACTATTTTTGAAGAGTCAATGCATAAAAGTTTTATGATTAGTGCTGATATGTCCCATGGTAACATAATATGTTTTTCAAGTTGCTTTTTCCTATCGATTAAATTTTTTATTTTCTCAGGTGTCTTAATATTATTATATACCTTCCAATAAATAAGCTATTCATCCAAATTATAGGTATGTTTTAACCAACACTTGCTCTTATATATGGATTTTTTTTTATATTAACATACCTAACATCTCTTAAAAATTATATAACTGTAGTGAAAAACACGAGGAAAATCATAGACCAGAGATGAATAACGGCGTTGTCATCAAAATCAATGCTAATCAAGTAATTAAAATATTTAATTGGTTGCATTACATTAAAAAATCAATTTATTTACAATGTTTCTATTTCATTATTAAAAGCGTTACGCTACTACTGCTGTAACTACGCTTGTATTGCGCGAGGCTGCAAAAAAATATAAAGTTCCATTACAAGAATTTGTTGTCCGTGCAGATAGTCGTTGTGGATCTACTATTGGACCAATGATAAGTGCAAACTGTGGACTACGTACTATTGGTAAATAACATTAAACATTTTTAAATAACAAGATAATTGTTTGATATTTATTATATCACGTATTTATATATCGTTAGATGTTGGAAACCCTCAATTAAGTATGCATTCTATTCGAGAAACTGCTGGAACAGATGATGTAGATCATGCAATTAACTTATTCCAGGTAATTAAATGATTTATTTAAGTTAGCCTATAATTAATTACTCTAATCGTGTGGGTATATATATTTAATTAATAGGGATTTTTTGAAGAATTTTCAAGGATTGATAAATCTATAGTTGTTGATTGAAATTGTTTAAATTGAATTTTTTTAATTTTTTTGATATTTGCTCTTGATAAATCAAATTTTTATAAATAAACAAATATTTCGCAATCAGTTAAAGCTATTGTTCAATTAACGAGATGACAATAGCACCAGTACCACCACCATCGTTACATACCTGACGTGTACCTGATACGTCTCCGGGCTTTTGTCCACTTTTGCATTCCATAATACAATTCATAATTGGATCTCTGGTACAGATAAGTCATCTGTTTCCTTAAATCTAGGAATAATAATTACCCCTTGATTGCTCCAACTAGCGCAAAATATTGGTGGCAAAACCACTCATTATTAGGCAAACAAAATCACATTACAAAACCTTATCATGAAAAAATGAGAAGCTCGCTTTTGAAGATTGGAGACATCATTATTGATGAATTGTTCCTGTGCATTAGCAACACTTCATAAGAATTCAAGAATTGCACGGCTACTATCAGTTGATGATGGACAACCTATATTTCTTTAATGGCACTATCGGCATGATAACAAAGTAATGATCATCAAAACCTTTCTGACCAGCAAAGATATCACTAAGATAATTGTACAAAAAGAAATTGTATATCTTTGGGGCCCAGCATCAAGGTGTCAATTCCCTCTACAAAATCCCTTCGCACTTACGGCACACAATACCCAAGGGTTGACCATTGTCTCGTACAACAATTAGTGTTGACGAAAACATATTTGCGACAGGTCGACATGTGTATCCATGAGCAGAGCACCTTCCCTTGAATTATTAAAATTTTATTTCCCAAGTATAAAAACGGATAACTTTACGCAAGATCGAATGATGTGTATCAAAAAGAGTTAAATGAGTGAAAAAATGTTAATAAGTGGTTATAAGTGGTGCTCGGATTTTTAGATTTGACGAAAATAAACAAATTCGGCAGGAACGTTGTAAACAAAAAATCACTACAACCAAAAGAACGAACATTTATTAAGCAATTGCCAGAAACATATCTATTACTATTACCAATACTAAAAGTAATTATTTTAAAATACATTAGATCGAATAATTTAATTTTTTAATTATTATTAATTAGTATATAAAGAATATATATATAAAATAAAGAAATTAATATTTTACAAAATCTATTATAAAAAATAATACAATTTTATATAAAATTTGGCAAGAAAAATGTGTTTTTTTAAATAAAAAAAATAAAAAATAATTAACATTTAAATTTTTTACGTGGACGTTGATTTTGTAATGATCTATCATCATCATCGTCTTCTTCTTCAAATATTATATTATTATTATTACTACTACTAACACTATTGTTGTGAAGATAATTATTACTTTCTGTTATTAGATTATTCATTAATTGGATATAATTATTACCAGTCATCATTGCAGTAAAAGTTGTTGTATTTGAAGAAGGTGCAGCAGCAGTTATTATGTTAATATTATTGTTGTTGGTGTTGTTCTTGTTGTTGTTGTTGTTATTGTTAACGTTAATGCTGCTGTTGTTATTGTTAACATTAATGTTATTATGAAGATTTTGACTCCAACCAGTAGTAGTTAAGCAACGACTACCACTATTGTTATTGTTGTTGTTGTTGTTATTACTACTACCACTATTAGGATTAGTATCATCAGAGATTTCTTCAATTATTCTATTGTTATCTTCTTCATCCGATGACGTACAATTATTATTATTTTCAATAACCATAGATCTAGGAATATTTTGAAAAGTTTTAATGGCTTTAAGATGTTTACAATGTCTTTCCAACATTGAGAGTAAATTAGCTTTTGTAAATGGCTTTGCTAAAATGTCATTCATCCCATGAGACAAATACTTGAAACACTCATCAGCCGCTATATTAGATGTCATACTAATAATTGGTGTAGTAATGTCAAATCTTCTTATTTGAGTAGTCGCCTCAACACCTAACAATGTTAATAGTCGTCAAGAGTTAGAAAATAAAATTATTTAGAAAATAAATGTGCATGTGTACTGTGTTATATGTACACTTACCATCTAAATTAGGTAATACAATATCCTAAATAAAATATCAAAAGGGAATATTATTATTATTGTTATTATTGTTGAAACAAAACCTCAGTAATCTTTTGGTCGCCTTACCATTAACACGAGATCGTATTTTGCAAAATTCATTTTACGAACAGCACTTAACCCATCCACAGCAATATCAAAGGAGCAACCAAAAATTTGTAAAAGTTTCGACCCAATGTTTTGATAAACAGCATCGTCATCAACCAATAAAACTTTTGGTGGAACTGACCAAGAAGGCACAAGAGTACTTCGCATAACATGCATTGTATCATTTGGTTTTCTGTTGTCAATAACACGTGATGTCGTTATCAAATTGTTTGTTGATGTTACTTTTGTTAAACTATTGTTCGATAATGCGGAAGATGAAGAGGCTGTTTTTAATGGTAAAGGTGATGATAACGACGACAATGACGATAAATGATTAGTATTCATGTTGTTGTTATTATTATTATCATTACTATTATTATTATTACTATTGTTATTATTATTATTATTATTATTATTATTATTGATTAATCGTGTAGTAGTCTTTGATGTTTGTTTTGGTGTTAGATGACCTAAAGTGAAAACTGTTGAACCGTTACTATGATTGTTGTTGTTGTTAGATGGTAATATGGATGATGGTGTAATATTAGTAGTATTAATGTTACTACTAGTAATAGTGTTATTATTAATTGGAGATAATTGATTTTGTTGTTGTCGTTGAGATGACAAAACCATTTTCTCAAAATGTGAATTATTATTTGAAGAAGAAGCAGAAGAATAATCACCTATGTCATTATTAACAGAGTTGTTGTTAAATAAATCATTGTTGGGGTTTTCACTGATACTAATATTACTAGCGTTGTTAGATCCTATTGGGTGTGATGATGATAAACGTATTGAAGAAGACGACGATTGATGATGACCATAATCAACCGGTGAATTAAATTGCTGTTGTTGAAAATCTGAAGTAGGATTATCATTAGCAGCAGTTTCATTAATGATATTATTTGCCATGTTTTGTAGTAATTGAGCACGTTTGGAAATTTCATTCATTTGATCCATAGAAGCTTTCGTAACTTCAGTATATGAATCAATTAATCTTTGTGACTGTTCAGAAGGTACGAATGGAGGGGTAATTGAATTATTATTATTAGTGATCATGTTGCTATTGTTATTGTTATTGTTATTGTTATTGTTATGCCCTGTTCCTAGCGCTGCTGTTAACCCTTGAAGGTTGTTGAAAGGACGACCACCAGATGATTTTTCTGCAAATAGGTTTTTATATATTTAATATGTTCATTATATAAATCAAGGTCAACAATAATGATAATTTGCACAAACCTGCTTCCGAATTAACCACATATTGTATTAAACTATGCATTAATTGATCTTGAGCAATCATACTTTTTTGAAAGTTTAATAAATCTTGAACAACGTTATGATAATTTTTGTTTAAAGTTGTCAGATGTTCATTCATGGTATATTGCAATTTGGTTAAATTATTTATTCGAGATTGAAGTTCTGAAAGTTGAACGTTTTGTGAAGAGACATCTGTTATAGTGTTATTATTTAAATTTTGATTTTTCCTATTGTTGGTGACTTTTCTCTAAAAAAAAGAGATTATTGTTATTTTTATTATTATAGGTTGATATAAAAATATTTTTTTTTTAGATTTACTTTAATGTTATCCAATTGATCTTTTTTATTACATTGAAATTCTGGATGATGGAATTCCCAAGCCTAATAATATATTTTAGAAAAATGCATACAAACGTAAAAACAAAAATCAATGTTATAAACAAAGTATACCTGTTCACCATATGGAGAAATTGATTCATCAGAATTCCTAATTTTATGAAAATCATATTTATTAAGTTGTCTTACAAAACTTGCGAAATTAGAATGTTTGAAATGTCGAGGAAGAATTGTTTTCGTAAAGGAGTCGATTTCCTTTGATAAAATAATAAGAATTAATAAAATAAACAAATTTGATTATTTATTAATTGTGAAATTACCTTGACAACAAAACTATTCCCGTTAACTCCCCAACAAACTATATCGCTATATGTATCATCTTCCAACATTCTATATGATCAATATCAATATCAATATCAATATTGCTTACGAAAATGCAAGTATAAAAAATCCAAGTGTTGTAACCTTACTTGTACAGTTTCTTTACAAAATCCGTACCTCCAGAATTACAATTATTCATATTTTTTTTACAAATAAAATGAGATGTAGATACAATTTGTAAACATGTGCGTGAATTAAGATGTAACAAAATTTTAAAGTTCATATTAATTCAAATCACGTGATAAACAAGAATATATACCCAACACTAAGTTTAAAAAATTTATAGTCTAGAGTAGTCTAGAACAGTGTTGGCGCACATTTTGTGATTATATCAGTCGTGGGACATGTCACAAAATTTATTTCTACGCAAAACAGTGAATTTTTCATAGTAAAATTTACAATTGAATACTTTCAAACCCCAGTTTAGTGCCCTTGTTGTTTAGCAATCATCACCAAATTTGATATATAGTTTCTTTATAGTATACATCTATTTCATGAAAATTTTTGAGGCAGGTTGTTAATAAAACCGTAGATAATCACAACCTTAAAGTATTTTTTTTTGTTTCTGTGAACTTGTGTGTAGAAAATTGTCATTCGTATTGATTGCAAACAAATAATTATTTTTTACAAGTAATTACAGAACCCAGTCACTTAGGTATGCTTTCTACTAGAATTTATTATATTATTACATATTAAGAATAGAATTTTGCTAGGGAAAGCTTATAAAGTAATGTAAAAATTATTCATTATTATACATACATATATATATATATACACACACATATATAGTTTCAACTTTAAATTTATTAATATACTATTGTATTTTTTGATATAAAGAAAGGTTTCATTCTTGGTATAAAGGAAGATTTTGTTTTTGGTACAAAGAAAAGTTTCGTTTTTGGCACAAAAGAAAGATTTCATTTTGATATAAAGAATTAATGTTGATAAAGTTATTATAAATATAAGATGTTTAAATCAATTGTATTATAAAATTTAATATTCCATTTAATTAAATAAAACATTAAACTAATAAATTTATAAACAAATTCTGAATTTACTTCTTTAAATGAATTCTTTGATTCAAACTTATTGGCAATATTAATAGAAGACAATGACCAGATTGATCTTACTCATTGCCAATATTAGTAGAAATCAATGACCAGATTGAACCTATATTAGAATTTGATGATATTCATTCCAACAATCAATGAATGATGCTATTATTTGATGATAATATAAAAGAAACCTGCCTATGAGTGAAATAGGTGAAGATGATGAAGATAATCAAGAAGAATATGATAAAGAATTCCCAGAGGAATTTGATAAAGTAACAACAATGGAAGGAAATATTCCTCAATGTGTAAGATATATTGTACAAATTATTGGGTAACAACTACATATAAGAACAGGAACAAAACCATGTATACATGATAAAGAATCATCCCCATCTTTGATTTTTTTTTTTAGATGGATCAACAATGTTGCTTCTTCAGATGATATAAATGCAAAAAATAAATTATTAAATCTTTTAATACAAGTTTTTAAAAATTTTAATACAGAAGTTTCTACCAAATCTATAGTATAAGATTTCACATCAACAGAATCCATAGTAGAAGAATCCTCCATATCTTCTAATAATTTAATAGTTCCTAGACCAACTTTATTTCTTTTAAGTGTAGCATTTAGAGTAAATAAAATATCTATAAATGAAAATTTACAATCAAATT